ATGAGTGTCACAATTATAATAATAGTATAATTAATGTACATGTACCTGAACTTGCAGGTGCAAACAACATAGCAGCGATTCCTCTAAACTCCTCTGGTTCTAATAGACAAATAAATAATAACAATGATTATAACATAAACCATCATCACCATGTACAGTATATGATATAATGTGACATTATTATTACCTGTAAGAGTCAAACCACTTAACTTGCCAGTAACTTCTTCTTCTGGAGTAACTATGAATAACTATCAATATAATTATATTCATTAATATTGTACTTACCATTTGTTTTACTTTTTATTGAAAACATCACAGTGTTGTCAATAATTAATTCTACAACATTTTTTGATTTTAGCATTTCTTCATTTTTAGTCACATATTCCTTCATCTCTTCAACCAGCCATTTAGGTATAGTACATACAAAGGTAAGTAGGCTATGATGTACAACCCTCAGTGATATTAATATGCCATGATGACGATAGAATGCTTTAACAAGAAATTTTTGAAACTCCTTCAGTGTAGACTCCAAATCCAAATCAACTTTAAAAATCACCTAAAGAGTACGTTGTAATTGAAGCACTTTGCTTATGTCAAAAATTGTAAACTTACTTCTCCATGGTCTTCTAATTTTTTATGGTCTTCAATGGCTTGTTTTGCAAAATCTTTAGCTAAAATTTTACTGTAGAGATCATCAATTTTTTCTGAAAAATCTAAAAGTGTCTTGCTGGCAACAAATTTATATTCCTCAGCAAATAACATTAACGCTCCAAAATTTGAAAGGAAAAAATATTTTCGAAGTAAAGATACCAGACCCAACTTGTTGCACACTTTCATGATTTCATCTTCTCTATCTGCTCCTTCCCTCTCTCTCCCTTCAGACTGATGGGGTGTCCTTCCCAATAAAAATGCTTTGAAGTCATCCAGCCAATTTCCTTCGATAATTTCATCAGCAAATTTACTCAAAACAAGGGAAAAACGATCATTCATTGTGGAATATTCAACATTTAATTCATAAGGTACAATGTACACTAGTAATAGAAATAATACAATTATGAATTTTTCCATGCATAAAAGGAAAGTCTTACCAGGTTTGGTAGTACCAGCACTCTCACTTTTGGTGAGAGACGTACTTGTACCTGCAAAAAATATTAAATAATAGAATAATACATACTTCGTAATGTACAATTTATACGTGCATATTACATGTATACATTTTGAAATT